AATGATTTTGAGTTTTGTTCCACATTGTTCTCCCACTCTATCCAGGATCTCCTGCACTGATCCCCCTCCGAGTGGTTGACAGTGGTAGCCATACACCATCTAGTTCTTCTGGTCTCATGGTCATATAGGCTGAAGGTCACATGAAGACCAACAACTTATTCATTGCAAATACCTTTTATCAACAACATATACATGTGGATCTTACCAGATGGAATACACAGGAATCAGATTAACTTACATCTGTGGAAATCGAGAGAAAGGAGCTCAATCTCATTAGTCAGAACAAAGCCAGAGGCCAATCCTGAAACAGGCTATTAATTGCTCATATGCAAGTTCAAGATGAAGCTGAAGAAAATTAAAACAAGTGCATGAGAGCCGAAGTATGACCTTGAGTATATCCCACCTAAATGTAGAGACCATTGCAAGAATAGATTTGATGCACTGAATACTAATGACTGAAGACAAGACAAGTTGTGGGATGAAAGCAAGGACATTATACATAAAGAAAACAAAAGGTCATTAAAAAGACAGGAAAGAAGGAAAAGAGCAAAATCAGAAGAGAGTCTGAAACTTGCTCTTGAATATAGGGTAGCTAAGCAAATGAAAGAAGTGATGAAGTAGAAAAGCTGAACAGGAGATTTCAAAGGGCAGCTCAAGGAGCTGAAGTAAAGTGTTATAATGAAGTGTGTGAAGATCTGGAGTTAGAAAACCAAAAGTGAAGAACATGCTCAGCATTTCTCAAACTGAAAAACTGAAGGAAAAATTCAAGCCTCAAGTTGCAATATTGAAGGATTCTACGGGCAAAAAAGGTTGGATGACTCAGAAAGCACCAAAAGAAGATGGAAGGAATACACAGTCACTGTACCAAAAAGATGGTACTGAAGGAAGAAGTCCAAGCTGCTTTGAAGGTGTTGGTGAAAAACAAATATCCAGGAATTGACAGAATACTAGTTGAGATGTTCCAACCAATGGAAGCAGTGCTGAAAGCATTCTCTTGTTCATGCCAAGAAATTTAGAAGAGAGCTACCTGGCCAGCCAATGGGAAGAGATCCATATTTGTGGCCATTCCAAAGAAAGTGATCCAATAGAATGTGGAAATTCCTGAACAATATCATTAATTTCACATGCAAGTAAAATTGTGCTGATGGTAATTAAATAATGACTGCAGCAGTACAATGACAGGGAAATGCTGGGAATTCAAGCCAATTCAGAAGAGGACATGGAATGAAGGATGCCATTGTTGATGTCAGATGGATCTTGGCCGAAAGCAGAGAATACCGGAAAGATATTCACCTGTGTTTTACTGACTATGCAAAGGCATTCTGCTATGTGGAACATGACAAGTTATGGATAGCATTGTGAAGAATGGGAATTCCAGAACACTTAATTGTGCTTAAGTGGAACCTTTCCAGAGACCAAGAAGAAGTTGTTTGAACAGAACAAGGGGACACTGCATGATTTAAAATCAGGAAGGGAGTGCGTCAGGGTTGTATCCTTTCATTGTACTTATTCAATCCGTATGCTGAGCGAATAATCTGAGAAGCTGGACTATATGAAGAACACAGCACAGGATTAGAGAAAGACTCATTAACAACCCACAATATGCAGATGACACATCCTTGCTTGCTGAAAGTGAAGAGAATTTGAAGCACTTATTGATGCTCAAAGGCTATAGCCTTCACCTTGGATTATACTTTAACATGAAGAAAACAAAAATCCTCACAACTGGACCAATAAGCAACAGCATGATAAATGGAGAAAAGATTGAAGTTGTCAAGGATTTCATTTTACTTGGGTCAGCAATCAACAGCATTCATAGAAGCAGCTGTCAAGAAATCAAAGGATGTATGGCATTGGGAAAATCTGCTGCAAAAGACCTCTTTAAAGTGCTGAAGAGCAAAGATGTCACTTTGAAGGCTAAGATGTGCCCGACCCAACCATGACGTTTTCAATTGCCTCATATGCATGCAAAAGCTGGACAATGTAAGGAAGACCCAAGAAGAATCGATGCTTTTGAATTGTGGTGTTTATGAAGAATTTTGAATAGATTGATGGAAGAACAAACAAATCCATCTTGGAAGAAGTACAGCACAAATGTTCCTTAGAAGCAAAGACAGTGAAACTTCTGTCTCACTTACTTTGGACATATTATCAGGAGGGAGCAGTCCCTGGATAACGACATCATGGTTGGTAAAGAAGAGGGTCAGCGAAAAAGAGGAAAGACCCTCAACGAGATGGATTGGCACAGTGGCTGCAATAATGGGCTCAACTATAGAAACGATTGTGAGGATGGTGCAGGACTGGTCAATGTTTTGTTCTGTGCATGGGCTCACTATGAGTCAGAACCGGCTCCTTGGCACTTGACAACCAAACAACATGTCAGGGCAGACTTTTCGGAACCAGTTAAATGTGGTGATGTAATGCCCATCAATAGGGTCTGGCTAACTTCATCCACACAATCAGTACATCGATAAAATAAGAATAGTATGCAGCCACGAGAAAGAATGAATTAACTCTATATGTAACAATATGGAAGGAGCCGTGGTGACTCGGTTGTGAAAGTGCTCAGCTGCCAACCAAAAGGTTGAAGGTTCAAGCCCACAAACTGCTTCATGGGAGAAAGATGTGGCTGTCTGCTTCTACAAATATTACAGCCTTCAAACCCCTATGAGCAGCTCTACCCTGTCCTGTAGGGTTGCGATACGGTTGCTGTAGGGACAGTATGAGTAGGAATCGACTCAATGGCAGTGGGTTTATTTTATTTGGTATCAATATAGAAGTATGTTGAAGATCAGATGGTTGATGACCAAAACAAGTTGCTGAGTCCATATGTGCTTAGATACAAGGATCGAAGTGTGTGTGTGTGTGTGTGTGTGTGTGAGTGTATCATATTCCTAGAAGGATAATTCAAACTACCAACAGTGTTTGTGGAATGTGGGCAGGAGGCAACTAAGTGATTTTTACTTTCCACTTTATAATTTTCTGTACTATTTGAATATTTCTACAGAGTCCATTTATGTTTTTGAAAAGTATGCTTCATAACCAGTACTGACACTTTCCTCTTTTTTTAATTTGCAGGGCAGCAACGTCTACTCAAAGAGAAATCCCATCTCTTTCTGTGGCACAAAGTGCCACACTTATGATTCTTGTCTTAGTGGTTTGGCCTCAGATGCTCAAATAAAACTAAAAACTCAGCTGTGCCTCCTTAACTAGTCCCAGCTCTGCAACCTGCCCTCACGCAAAGTCATCTTTCTTGTTCTATGCATGCCAAGTGCTTCCACTGTCTAAAGAAGCTTGTTGCTGGCAAAACATATCCTGCAATTATTTTTTAATATGAAACAGATGTTCAGGATTACAGAAACAAGATATTAGTCTAGTCTTTTTTAATTGGTTACAACTGCTACATGAGAATGAAAGAAAATTATATTTTTCCTATTTTTATAATGGGTAATGTTGTTGTTATGTGCTGTCAAGTCAGACCCGACTCATAGCAACCCCTCCTTGGGTTTCCGAGGCAGTATCACTATGGAAGTAGATTGCCCCATCTTCCTTCCGAGGAGTGGCTGGTGGGTTTGAACCGCCAGCCTTCTGGTTAGCAGTCAAGTGCCTTAGGCACTATGCTACCAGAGCTCCCAATGAGAAATCCCATCTTTTCATGGGCAATGAGACCCAGAATATTTGTTATATAATCAAACATCTGTAAATTTTGAATAGAATTGTATTATATATTTTTTATACTCCAGAAAGAGCACACTGGATACTTATTGATAGCTTAACACAAACATGCATGCTAGATCTTGTATGTACTTATTTGGTGTGCAAAGATTTATGGACAAAGATGTCCATTTAATGAGTATTTGTAATGGGGGGAAAATGTCCCATGATGGGGACCTGTTTACATATGATTTGGTCCATATGCAGGATGGAATGTCACTCAACTGGTAAAAATTTTGTTTACCAACCATATGTCCTTCAACTGGTGAAGGGATAAACACACATCTGTGCAGTGGAATACTAACCAGCAATAAAACCCGACCAGCTATTGATGCACACAGGGTCATGGTGGATAATCATATGTGTTCTGGTAAGTAAAAGAGCCACACTCAAAAGACTGCATCCTGTGTGATTCCATGAGACAATCTGAAAAAGGCCAAGTTTTAGGGCTGGAGACCAGATCAGAGGTTGCCAGGGGTTAGGGCTAGGGGAGGGGTTAACTACAAAAGGACAGCATGTGGGAACCTTTTGGGATGATGAAACTGTTCTGTATATTCATTGTGGTGGTGGTTACATGACTCTGTGTATCTGTCAAAAGTCAGAACTGTATACCAAAAGAGTAAGTTTCATTCTATGTGAATTAAAAATAAATCATGTTTGCAAAGAATATTTCATGATATTAGAAATGTCAACAATAAGTGCAAGGGATGACATATAAAATTTTATCCTAAGACCAACTGTCCAAAATATAACATAATTTAATAAATGATATTATGAATATGTGTTTACATGATCTACATGTATTGTAAATGAGTGAAGTAAAAGGAAATAAACCAAAAGGAAGAGGAATTATCTCTGCATGATCTTTTATGTATATATATATATATAATTGAGATTTTGGTGAAATTTTACATAGCAAATTAGCTTTCTATTTAGCAATTTCTATACAAATTGTCCAGTGACATTGGCTACATTTTCCTCATCGTATCAACATTCTCATTATTTCCGTTCTGGTTCTTCCATCTCCAGTATTCTTGCTTCCCTGCCCTCCTGACCTTCTCATCCTTGTTTTAAGTAAGTGTTGACTGGTCTCAGATGATTGTGGTGGGTCCCCCCCGCCCCTTTGTTATGTTTTATATGAAAGGAACCCGTACTCATGGGTGATCTTATTTATTTTATGAGCCAATCTGTTACTTTGTTGAAAGTTCAATGGTGATCTCTGGGAGTAGTTTCAGTGATTTCTCTGACTTTTGACTTTTTTGTATCTGTCAAAGTTTTTCCTGTGAGCATGCACTACGTTTATCATCAGAAAAAGAGAAACACACACATACATTCTAGTGGTGAACTGCTAACTAAAGAGTCGGCAGTTCAAATCCACCAGCTGCTCCGCAGGATCCTGAGTCAGGATCAACACGATGGCAGTGGGTTTGGTTTTTCTCAAAACATTTCCAGAAGAGAAAAGTGAAAAATAGCAGCTCATTACAGACATTTCTCTGTTCTTAATTTGTAAGGCAGTGGGAGTGCTTTACTTACTGTGACAAATTGCCCTTGAGTCCACTCCACTCGGACCCCACGTGTGTCAGGGTAGAACAGTGCTCTAGAGTGTTTTCAATAGCTGGTTTTGGGGGAAGAAAATTTCCAGACCTTTCTTTCAAAGTGTATCTGGGTAGACTTGAACCACCAACCTTTCAGTTAGTACTGTGTTAACTGTTTGTACCACTCACAAACTCCTTAATTTACCTTACCCAAAAACCCCAAACCCACTGCCATTGAGTTGATTCTGATTCATAGCGACCCTATAGGACAGAGTAGAACTGCCCTATAGGATTTCCAAGGCTGTAAATCTTTATGGAAACAGACTGCCTCATCTAGAGTGGCTGGTGGGTTTGAACTGCTGTCCTTTTCATTAGCAGCCAAATGCTTTAACCGCAAGTGCTCCCTTAACGTCGGTGGAGGTAGGAGTTTTAAAAGCAGGTGGACTGACTCTGAAGTTGGGTGCTTTATCATCTTCTATATAAGGTAAGACCCTACAAATTCCAAGGACCTTTGAATTTTGACCAGAGTCATCTAGTCTTACTCCTTCTTTCCTGTTTTTATTTTCTTTATCTCCCTAAATTCCCAACCAAGCTATTCATGTTCCGTTTGCTTCTCTCTTTTACATTGATACAAGAATGAGTCCTTCTTATCTCCAAACTGGGGTTTTCTTTTACCTGCACCTGCATTTTTCTTCCCTACCTCAAAACATTGTGGACACTGGTCAAGGTAAATGCTTCCTACCTCACCCAGTCCTGGGGTTTTCCCTTCCAAGGACTGGCATTGTCAATACCTTTAACAAACTATCAGAGGACTTTAGGTGGGAATTAGATTCTTATAGTTCCATGTTGTTGTTGTTGTTGTTAAGTGTCGTCAAGTCGTTTCCAACTCATAGCGACCCCATGCACAGCAAAACGAAACACTGCCCGATCCTGCGCCAGCCCCACAATCCCTGCTATACTTGAGCCCGTCATTGCAGCCACCGTGTCAATCCATCTCATTGAAGGCCTCCCTCTCTTTCGTCGACCCTCTACCCTACCAAGCATGACATCCTTCTCCAGGGAATGGTCCCTTCTGACAACATGACCAAAGTAGGTGAGACAAAGTCTGGCCATTCCTGCTTCCAAGGAGCATTCTGGCTGCACTTCCTCCAGGACAGATCTGTTAGTTCTTTTTGCAGTCCACGGTACTTTCAGCATTCTTCACCAGCACCACAACTCAAAAGCATCAACTCTTCTTCGGTCTTCCTTATTCATTGTCCAGCTCTCACATGCATACGAGACGATTGGAAATATCATGGCTTGTGTCAGGCGTACCTTAGTCTTCAAGGAGATATCCTTGCTCCTCAGCACTTGAAACAGTTCCTTCGCAGTTGACTTTCCCAATGCTACACGTTGTCTAATGTCCTGACTGCTGCTTCCGTTGGCATCGATTGTAGAACCAAGCAACGTGAATTCTTTGACAACCTCAATCTTCTCTCCATTTATTGTGATGCTGCTCATTGGTCCAGTTGTGAGGATTTTTGTTTTCTTTATATTGAGACGTAATCCATACTGCAGACTGTATTCTTCAACCTTCATCAGTAGGTGCCTTAAGTCATCCTCACTTTCAGCAAGCAAAGTTGTATCGTCTGCATATCTCAGGTTGTTAATGATTCTTCCTCCAATCCTGATGCCACGTTTTTCTTCATATAGTCCAGTTTCTCGGATTATTTGCTCAGCATATAGATTGAATAAGTGTGGAGAAAGGATACAACCCTTCTTGATTTTAAACCATGTTGTGTCCCCTTGTTCTGTTCGAACGACAGCCTCCTGGTCAAGGTACAGATTCCTCATGAGTACAATCAAGTGCTCGGGAATTCCCATTCTTCTCAATGTTATCCATAATTTGTCATGATCCACACAATCAAATGCCTTTGCATAGTCAATAAAACACAAGTAAACATCTTTCTGTTATTCTTTGCCTTGAGCCAAGATCTATCTGACAACAGCTATGATATCCCTTGTTCCACATCCTCTTCGGAATCTGGCTTGAACCTCTGGAAGTTCTCTGTCAATATACTGCTGCAAACGTTTCTGAATTATCTTCAGTAAGATCTTACTTGCATGTGATATTAATGATATTGTTCTATAATTTCCACATTCTGTGGGATCACCTTTCTTTGGAATGGTATAGTTCCATAGGCAACTAGAATTCTTCTAAGTACAGATGAGCATGAAGTAGTATTACTAGTTCAAAAATCTCCCTTTCTCATCTTAATACCCTTTAAAAAATTGTGATAAATATATAAGTAATGAAACATTTGCCATTTCAGAAGTCTAAACATGCATAGGTCAGTGACATTATTTGAAGACATCATGTTCAACCATCATCATTATCCATTTCCAAAAATTTCCATCACAGTTAATAGAAGTTCAGTGTTACCTAAACACCGGGTTACCTCTGGCCCCGTCCTGATAACTAATCAACTTTGATCTCTTTGGTTTGTTCTGCATATTTAATGCAAATGGGATCATACAATATTTGGTCTTTTTGTGACTGATTTCTTTCATTCAGCATGTTTTCAAGGTGCATCCATGTTGTAGCATGTATCAGGACTTCATTTCTCTTTACGGGTAAGTAGTATTTCTGTTTTGAGCAAATTCTTCCTTACCTGCAGTGATATTCATCAGTGCTGGATGTGAATCATTATGACTATCAATTGCTTTTGCCTTGAGCCATCATTTCTTCTATGAATCCCACTAGCCCATCCCAAAAGGATACTTATGTTTAAACCAACTCTGAACTCTTCACAACTCATTGATTCTCCAACCTACCCCTTTATCTTAGAGGCTTGGACTACATTCTACCTACAAAACTATCTGGCTCTCCCCATAGACTCAGAATGTGCCCACCTTCTGCTTCATCTCTGTATCTCTGATATTTACTTCCTGC